GGTTATTTATCAAGTTCATAACACTAAGCATAGCAAATAAAAGTAATCAAGCATGTAAAAGGAGCAATCTAACAATAAGTTTCGAAGAGAAAGCACAAAAATTGACCACAAACCTATCAATATACTATTTTTAAAATTTTTTCGTATCTATGAAATTTGGCTCTAGAGAGTTCAATCAACTTTTGGCTCGATCTCTTAAGGAGTAGGGGAACAAACTCAACCTGAAGGCGTCATCTGATATGCTAGGAATCTTGAATTTACTTGCCACTTTCAAGAATTGTCTTAAATGTAAAAGAGAGTCTTCATTTGTAGCATCTGAGTACTGACCAATGACTTGCAGCATTTGAAACATCATTGGTTTAAACTTGAATTGAGTTACAATAATTTCTGGTCTAATGATACCCGTGTTCATAACATTTAGATCAAATATTGCATAATCCCTGATGTTACGTGCCCTGTCATTGGCAATGCCAATGGTATCGTTATCTTCCATGACAACATCTGCCAAAGCTAGTTCATCATCTATGTCTAAAATAAGAAAAGGAGGAAGGCTTCCTAGTAAATGTCCAATAGTTTGGAATCTTCTCAACAACCTAAAGGTTTGTTTAGGTTCAGGATCGCCTCTATAAATTGGATTTAACAACCTGCGCATGCAACATCTAAACATTAGTCGTGTCACCAGAGTAATGAGAACATCAAAAGCTCAAATTCTTATTTAACAAGAAATATGGTTTTATACAAAATCAAAATGTTATCTTTGACACACTCCTCGACAACGACGCCAACAACTTTTTGCTTGAAAACGTGTGATGTCACGTGCATGTATTCATGTATGTTTTAAGTAGAAAATGATAGAATAGTAAGTATGATGAACCCACGGGGAGTGGAAATTATCTTAGGATGACTTTTTAAAGAGCTCTTTTGTAAATAAGCATGAGCATAAATAAATAGTTTATGGTTGTCACAGGTTCAATTTAATATCAAACAAAGATGAGAACAATGTTACATGTGTAAGTGAGTTCAATAATAGAGAGCATGTTGGGTTGATCCATTAATATCACTTTTTCATTTATGTGTGTATGATGTTCTTTGTCGTGCCAGGAAAGGTCAAAAAAGGATCTAATGGTGTATCTCTACATCATAAAAAACGTATACCTCAGGGCAATGGGACAAATCTCTAGGCCTCGCTTATATAACCCTAAAGCATGCATGGTTTAATTCTAAAAATCCTTTATGATTATAGCCATTTATCTCTAAGTATCTAATCTAGTGAATATCTCTATCCTACTATTTTCAATCACTTTTATCATGAAACCTGCTTGCTGTTGGATCTCTCACATCAACGAACTTGTATCTTTTTTCAAGGTTATCAATCAAAGAATCAGATTTATAACATTTTAACACATGATAAAATAAAGCATAAAAACACATCATTTAATATAAAGACTACATTATATTAACTTTTCATTGCTTAACATAAAAGGGTTTATCTCATACTAAGCTTAGTACATACAATAATACTGGTTCTTATGTTAATCCTTCTCAAACACATAGTGAAAAAGAAATAACAACCTAAGAGCAACTTCTTCATCTTCTTGAAATTATTAATAACCAAGAGACAACTTCTGTCACGCCATATATCAGCAATATGCACTTGAAAAGACGAGAAGAAGAACCTTCATTCTTGTTCACCTCACTTTCTTCACTGATTTCTTTTAAGTGTTTTTCTCTAAAAAATGCTGAACTAATATCATCTCACGAAGAACTACTTTTATAGCTACTTTAACTATGGTTTTATGCATTGTCTTAGATCTTGGGCTTGAAAATAATTTTCAAATAGGGCCCGAAGGAAATCAACATTCTTCCCTCTATTTCGTACAAAAGTTGAATCAGGTACACACAATAGTGGGACAAAAAGTGTAGCGTGGCAGTGTACTGGCACATACAAGGAGGTAGTGTTGTTCGTGTGGCAGCATGGTGCGCTAGTGGTCGTATTGTGTATTGGCTTTTGTCTTCTAGTGCCTCATTCTTATCCTTTCACATCAGCTCTCTTTCTAAATGCAAATTGTTGCCACGCGTGGCCTAGAAATATAGTTTGATATTTCTCTTTTTTATCTGCTGCTTCTAGCTTTCCACTTCCAGTTGGGTACAAGTTGCTATCCCATATTGATTTTCTAGATTTCATAAGAAGTTAACCTTTCACAAGCAACAAACACATAAAAACTACAAAAGAGAGCACCTATTATGCTCTTTACAACCCACTCTTAAAATAAAATGAAGTAAATTTAACTAATGAATGGTGAAATAAATAAAAATGTTCAAGTATTAAGATTGCAATCACTCACAAAATGTGAGTTACCAACTATCAAGCAATGGTTCTTTAACATGATTGGAAAAATAATTAACAAACTCATACCTAACCTCAAACACCCCTTCAATTCCTATATCATATACCTTAATAGCTAAAATAACATTTCTCTTACTCCCACTTTTGACAGCCTTTGATGGAGGAGGTAAGTTTGTTTTTCACTGAGCATGATATTCATATTTTTAATATGGATGATATATTTTTTGTGGAAAAGCAAAACATGGAGGTAATGTTCAATCTATCACAATAAAGAATCACTATTGCATTGAATCTATAATATAAGAAAAGAAAACGTTGTCGAAAACTTTCATTTGCCCTTTTCTCTAAGTCTTTCACCTCACTAAAATGAGAGAAATTTTGTTCCAAAAATTACTTTTTACATCTAATGATGTCACATTGTTCAATTCCAATAACATCTTTATTATATTATACTTTTTCTTGATAGGTTTGGATCAATTGATGATGTCATAGGGTTCAATTGCAATTTCTTTTCTAAAAATTTCTTTTGCTTTCCCCCAAAAGATGCAAGCTCACGTTCCCTCTCTTCCTCTTATTCTTTCTTCTCTCTCCCGCTGCCTCTCTCTTCCTCTTCTTCTTTCTTTTCTCGTCCGCTGCCTCTCTCTTCCCCCTCTTCTTCTTCCTTCTCTCTTTCGCTACCTATCTCTTCCTCTTCTTCTTTCTTCTCTCTTCCCTTTATTCAACAAAGACTAGGGGTGTGCATGGATTATAAACCAAACTAAATCAAACCACATATATGGTTTGGTTTGGATCTTAAAACCATTTATATAAAACTGGTTTAGTTTTTTAAAAATGGTTTACAAGTGGATTGGTTCGGTTTCAAACCGGGTTTAAAAAAAATAGTTTTTTTAAAAACTAGTTTTAAACCGGTTTCTCTCAAAGCAAATTTTTTATTTTCTTTAAAGAAATCAGTTTTAAAACCAATTTTTTTAAGAAAATCAATTTTATTGCGAACTATCAAATAATTGATAAACCACCTGAAATTCATTCTACTTTAAACTTATTACAAACTATCAAATAATTGATATAAATTAATTAATCAATTTTATTTCAGTTTTACATTAAATTAAATCAACACTCCATATATCTTAAACTTTAAACTACTCAATGTAAAACTGAAATTAAACTAATTCCTTTTCATCGTGAATTAAATCAATTAATCGAGAAATACGTTGAATTGATATAAATCAATTAATCGTGAAACTTATTCTAGTTAAAATTTATTGCAAATTATCTATCTTAAACTTATTCTACTTTAAAGCAAATCAATTTTATTGCAAACTATGGGTTATGACACCACACGACCCTTAGGGTTTTATTCAAATTTTTAATAAGATGATTTAATAGAGTTATTAAAAAGTATTAACTTTGAATTTTGGATTACCAATTTAGAAAGATGACTAGCATTTAATGATTATTTGGTTGTTTTATCAGCTTGATCCGTTTCTACTTTAAAAAAAATATTAATCCTAATATTTCATTTTATTTATGTTGAAATTGTCTTATTTGTAAACAATTAAAAAGATTTATTTATTTAATATAATTTTCAATAATTTTTATTTTTAATCATATTACTCATAACATTGTTGTTTATATTTCGTCTTCTACCTATTTATTTAAATTTTCAGAAACAATTTTATTATTGGTTCAAATATTTTTATAAATAATGTTAAAACAAAAATAATTAATATTTATATATGGAAGAAAATACATTGTTAATTAAAATATTTTTATTCTACATGTTGATTCAAATATTTTTATTCTACATATTATTCTACATATTGATTCAAATATTTTTATATACATGAACAACTTTTTTATTAATTCAAATATTTTTATAAATAATATAAAAACACAAATACTATTTATATACGAGAAAAAAATAAATTATTAATTAAAATATTTTATATGCAGGAAAAAATACTATTGTTATAAAAAGGAACAACTTTACTTCTGATTCAAATATTGAATAATATAAAGTTATCGATAATTTTTTTTTCAAATATGTGAAAAAGATTAATGTAGCTTATTAAAAAAGATTGAATAGATATTTACAAATTTAATTCTCTCAATATTATTTATAATATTATTATTTACATTTCATCTTTTATGTATGTATTACTATTTTAATTTAAATTTATTATTATTCTTAAACTTTTTTTCGACTTTCTAATTTTTTTTTTGTTAATCTACAAACAAATACGCGTCCAAAATTATATTCAACTAAAAAAATATATTTTGTGCATATGCACGAGTTTGTTAGTAATTAATTTATACTCTTATTGATATACAACTTCAAGAGCTTGTTTTAATGAAATAAATAGTCGGTTGTTAATTTCTATGACTTGTTTGTGTCCAAGTAACCTATTCTCTACTTTTGACAAGACAAAGTTAATTGATTTTGCAAACCGACTTGAGACTTACATCATTGATAAATATAAATACATGATATTAATTAAATTTTAAAGGAAAGAAAAGAAAGCAAACAAATTGTGGATATAACTGAATTTCCAACACTAGTTTATTCTAGGTGTGAATGAATACATGATACTAAAACGCATGCAGAAGTGATTATTGAAAAGAATATTTTAGTTTAGTTTACACAAGAAATAACTCAGCGTAGCCACCAACTGTCACCATCATCATTCTTAGCATGAACTGAACAAAACTCAAATAATAAAACTTGTGCTCCAACCTCACTAACAGATTCTCTACAAAGAGGACAAGTTGAATTTTTTATACTAATCCATTTATCTATGCAATCTTCGTGAAAAGCATGTTCACACCTCAGTACTTTAAGAACTTCTCCTTCTCCAATCTTGCATAAACACACAGCACATTCAACATTTTCTTCTCCAATATTTGACAAATCAGGTTCTTGAAGCTTGTAAAAAAGGAAACCTAACACCAATTTCAAATGACTCAAAATTAGTGTAAGCATGTTGAATGTTTGAACGAATAAAAGTTGTTATTGTATAGGAATATTTATAAGGTCTCTCACTACTAGAAAAAAGACTTTTGAGAAAATCTTTTTACATCGGGTATTCAGTAGAAGCGATGTAAAATGTGAAATGATAAACACGGTGGCAGTATCGTAAATATTAAAAAAAAATTATTAGATCTTTTACATCGGGCCTTTAAAATAACCGATGTAAAAAATTGAAAAAAAATTATTTAAAGATTTTTTAAATCGGTTATAACTGCAACCGATTTAAAAACAATATTAAAAAAAATTGAAAAAAATTATTTAAAGGTTTTTTAAATCGGTTATAACTGCAACCGATTTAAAAAGATATTTAAAAAAATTTTAAAAAAATTATATAAAGGTTTTTTAAATCGGTTATAACTGCAACCGATTTAAAAAGCTATATTAAAAAATTAAAAAAAAAATTATATAAAGGTTTTTAAAATCGGTTTATAGTGGCCAACCGATTTAAAAAGTCCCCAAAAGAAAAAACAAAAACTTGGCTTTTACATCGGTTGGGATATCCACCGATTTAAAAAGTTATTTAAAAGGGTCTTTTAAATCGGTTGATATATCCACCGATTTAAAAAGTAATTTAAAATGGTCTTTTAAATCGGTTGGTAATTCCACCGATTTAAAAAGTAGTTTAAATATTTTAAAACAAAACCTGCACGCACAGTTCATTTCATTTAGTCTTCCTCTCTCCCAGACGAACCAAAACAACCCACGACGATTCTTCATCTTCTCACTCCCGCCGTCGCCGTCGCCGTCACCTTTCCTCCCTCCCCTTCGTGCTCGCGCCGTCGCCGTCGACGTCATCTCTTCCTCCTTGCTCGCATCGTTGCTCCTCCTACTGTACTCGTCGTCTCCCCTCCGAGCTCCGTCGTCGACGGTCATCTCCTTCAGGTTTTTTTCCTTTTCCTTTTTTATTTATTTATCTTTTCATTTTAATTTGGTTCTTGTTTGATTCAAATTTGTTTGAAGATTTTTCATGGGGTTTTCAGGTTTATACGAAAATCTTCTTTTTTTTCATGCATGTTTTTTTGTGTGTACCCATTTTGCTCATGCTTTGTGTTTTTTATAATGAATTGAAACTGGGGTTTTCCTGCTACGATTTTATAATGAATTAATTGTTTCTAAAAATTATTAATATGATGCAAGAGATTAGAGAAATTCCACTCTGAACAAGATAGGATTCTAGCGAGATTGAATTGTTACGGTTTTGGAGCTTTGAATGAGATGATTCTTAAGTTCGTGTAGTGTAGTAGTTTTAATTAACTCTAAATTTATTTTGGTTTCAATGGAAGTTCTACGTATAGTTCGTAATCGGACCACCCTTAGAGTTAATTTTTAAGTTCATAAGTTCGTGTAGTGTAGTAGTTTTAATTTACTCTAAATTTCTTAAGTTCGTAAGTTCGTGTAGTGTAGTAGTAAATGAGAATATGTATTGGACTTCTAATGCTTCTAATTTCATTGGGCAAAAAAGAAATGATAAAATAAATTAAAGAGTGAAATGAAAGAAAATAAATATCATATAGTAAGTTCTTTTATGCTCTTCTGTATCGGAACAATGCAATTTTTTTATACCACTCAATTCCAACCAACTATATTCAAACTCTATTCAATTTTAAGATATACATACAAAACAATGGAATAAAAATTGATTTTTCGTTTCTCGCAGGATTTGTGTCCCTCTTTTTCTCTTAACCGCAAGTCATTCGGCCGCCACATAATTGCAGGTTCTGTTTTCATTCTTTATAACTTCTTAATTCTTCTTTTATGCCATGTGTTTACACATAGATACTTTTTGTTCTCTCTAATGTCTAAAAGAGGGACTATTATAGGCATTCCAATGATTTAACTCTGTATGCATTAATAATTTCGGAACATAGGTATGAATCGTAGTTGGATGAGAGCCAATCGATTAAGTTTCGAGTACGAACAAGGAGTGATGGAATTTCTAGAGCTTGCTGAAAGTAATGCTAAAAAAAATCTTGCTCCTCCTAAGAGTGATGCTGAAAAAAGTCTTCATTTGTTTTTTCTCTGTCCATGTGTTCGTTGTGCAAATCACGAACCAAAACTCAATAAGAAAGAAATCATGGATCATCTAATTTGTCATGGGATTTGTCAAAGTTATACACAATGGATATGGCACGGTGAGGTAGTAGCAAAGTCAAATGTGTCCCAAAGAGATAATGTTAGTGCAGAAATGGATGATCGTCTGGAAGACATGATGCGTGATATTGGACAAGATTCGTTTAAGAAGGCGCACGCGTATGATACTTTATGCAGTGACAAGGATAAACCTTTGTATCCGGGATGCACAAATTTTACACGTTTGTCAGCCGTGTTAAAATTGTTTAATTTGAAGGCAAATAATGGGTGGACTGACAAAAGTTTTAGCGAATTGCTTGAATTGTTGACACAGATGCTTCCAGAAGGTAACGTAATGCCAAATCGTTATTACGAGGCGAAAAAGATATTATGTCCGATGGGTTTGGAGTATGAAAAGATACATGCATGCCCTAATGATTGCATATTATACAGAAAAGAGTATGTAAACTATAATCATTGTCCGAAGTGCAAGGCATCCCGCTACAAAAAGAATGCTGGTGATTCTAGTGATGATGAGGCGGTAAAAAAGGTTCCTCCCGCGAAAGTGGTATGGTACCTACCAATAATTTCAAGGTTCAAGAGACTATTCGCTAATGCAAATGACGCAAAGAATCTTAGATGGCATGCAGAAGAAAGAAAGTGTGATGGAAAAATTTGCCATGTAGCTGATTCTTTACAATGGAAGAAAATAGATGTTTTATTTCCAAATTTTGGCAAAGAGTCGAGAAACCTTAGACTTGGACTTTCAACTGATGGAATGAATCCGTTTGGTAATCTAAGTACTAACCATACTTGTTGGCCTGTTCTCCTGATGATCTACAACCTATCTCCTAGGTTGTGCATGAAGCGTAAATATATTATGTTATCGATGATGATTTCGGGCCCAAAACAACCCGGAAATGACATAGATGTTTATCTAAGTCCTCTGATTGATGATTTAAAAGTGTTGTGGGAGGAAGGGGTGGATGTTTTTGATGCGTATTCTGGTGAACAGTTCAATATGCGTGCCATGTTGTTTTGCACCATCAACGATTTTCCGGCATATGGCAATTTGTCTGGTTATAAAGTTAAAGGGCATAGAGCATGTCCTATATGTGAAAAAGACACATGTTACCATCAACTTGTAAAAGGAAAGAAGACTGTTTATCTCGGGCATCGAAAATTTCTAGATCGTTATCATCCATATCGTAGATTGCGGAAAGCTTTCAATGGGGAACAAGAGCATGGTGTTGCTCCAAAGCCCTTAACTGGAGAGGAAGTTTATCAACGACAACAAGGCATTAATGTCGTCTTTGGAAAATACCAAAAGCAATCTACTGTGAAAAATATATGGAAAAAGAGGTCGGTTTTCTTCAATCTTCCATATTGGTCTAGTCTTGATGTAAGACATTGTATTGATATGATGCACGTGGAGAAAAATGTATGTGATAGTTTAATCGGAACACTTCTCAACATTCAAGGCAAGACAAAAGATGGTTATAATGCTCGTCTGGATTTGAGTTTGATGGGTATACGAGAAGAGTTAACTCCACAACATATAGGTAATAAGATATATTTGCCTCCTGCCTGCTACACTCTGTCTAAAAAAGAAAAAATAAGTTTCTGTGAGTGTTTACAAAGTATTAAAGTGCCGCATGGATACTCATCAAATGTCAATAGGCTTGTCTCAGGTAAAGATCTCAAATTAATTGGATTAAAATCTCATGATTGTCATGTCTTAATGCAACAGCTACTACCAGTGGCTATTCGTGGGATATTGCCTAACAATGTTAGGAAGACTATAACTAGGTTGTGCTTATTTTTCAATGCAATTTGTTGTAAAGCCATTGATCCATTAAAGCTAGAAATTTTGGAAAATGAGGCTGCAGTTATCTTATGCCAATTAGAGATGTATTTTCCTCCTTCATTTTTTGACATTATGGTTCACTTGATTGTTCATCTAGTAAGGGAGATTAGATTATGTGGTCCAATTTATTTACGATGGATGTACCCAATAGAGCGATACATGAAGATCTTAAAAGGGTATACAAAAAACCCACACCGTCCGGAAGCATCAATTGTTGAGAGGTACATCGCAGAAGAAGCAATTGAGTTTTGTTCGAACTATTTGTCAGAAGTGGATGCTGTAGGGGTTCCCAAGTCTCGTCATGATGGAAGATGTGAGGGTGTGGGTACACAAGGTTTAAAGGTCAAGAGCTTAAGTATTGATGTGGTTCTTCGAGCGCATTTGTATATATTGAATAACACGGATGAAGTTCAACCTTACTTATCTGCTCACAAAAGCATCATAAAGAAAAAGTACCCCAAGATGAATGAAAGATGGTTGTTAAAAGAGCATAATAAGAGTTTCTCTGAGTGGTTTAAAGAAAAAATTTCTAATGAGGATAGTGCTTCCAATACAATTAAGTGGTTGTCCTATGAGCCTAAATGTAACATAATAACTTGGAGTGGATATGATATTAATAAAACTTGCTTTTGTACAAAGTCAAAGGATGATCGTAGTACCACACAGAATAGTGGGGTTATGATTGTGGCCGAGTCCATGCACTTCTCTAGTGCTAAAGATAAAAACCCGGTTATGGCATCTACACCCTACTTTGGGGTGATTGAAGAGATTTGGGAAGTTGATTATGTTGTGTTTAAAGTTCCTGTATTTAAATGCAAATGGATTGATATCAACAGTGGTGTAAGAATCGATGAATTCGGAGTTACATCGGTTGATCTTAGCAAGCTAGCTTATGCGGACGAACCTTTCATTATGGCGTCTCAAGCAAAACAAGTGTTTTATGTCACAGATCCTTCTAATAAAAGGTGGTCAGTGGTTATACAAGGAAAGGTGCATGATAGTGATGAAAACCAAG